AAAGACAATGAAGACGATAATGACCCAAGCCGTCGTCCCCCGTGGGCGAATTCACCCAACTTTTGCTTGCACGCTGCTGCTACAAGGACAATGAAGACGATAATGACCCACGCCGTCGTCCCCCGTGGGCGAATTCACCCAACTTTTGCTTGCACGCTGCTGCTACAAGGGACCACAATGAGAAAGCATATAAAGCATATGCTTAAACACCGGCCAGTATACTTATAACCCCAAATAAGGCACTTATAACCATAATTACTAAGTCCCATGATCCTCCAAGTGGGAAATCTGCAACGAGCATGGCACAATAGCTTTCCCGGGCTTTGAGTCTAGTATCTCGGGGCAAGGTTTGGGTAAAGCTTGCTCACCCAAAGATAAACACAACACATACTGGAGGGGCCTTATAATGATTAGAATAGGGCTTGGGGGCTATATTATACTATGCTTGTAAGAAGGACCCCCCCCAAAAAAAACAAAAAAATAGTAGATGTAACTGGCCCCGATATTGCTCCCACCCGGACCCCTAAACCGAGTCGCAGGTGCAGGCGCAGCTAATGGAGCTCGGTGCGAAGCGGCGGGGCTCTAACTCGAAGCAGAAAATGGCAGCAGAAGCAGCGGCGGCAGCAGCGGCAGCAGCGGCAGCGGAGGCCTGCGCGAGGGAACTGTTCTGCTTCACAGGTCCTGCAAACTTTCATGAAGACGAGTTTAATATCCCTAGGGCTCCAAGTATACAAATAGTACCTACTTTGGGGTCTAAAGTCTGCAAATAGTACCTACTTTGGGCTATTTGGAGCCCCAGGGTATAGGTTCAGGAGGGCTTCAATAAGGGTGCAGGGTGTACGATTCTGATAATGAGTTGGCTTTACATGGGCTGCAATTAGGTTCCAACGGTTTAGGGTCTGTGCTAGGTCGGAGTCCATGTACCCAAAGGGTAGATACTTGACCCCTATTGAATATTTTGGACATGCGGTACATGGACCATTAAACCTACGTTGCAGTTTGAGATTGTGGATGTTGGGCTTTCAGTCCTTCAAGCTTTGGGGTGCTGGGCCTTGGTGTCTTTTGGTTCAGGGTTTATTAGGTTACCCTAAACCCTATCCCTAAACCCTAAACCCTAAACCCCTAAACCCTAAACCCTAAACCCCTAAACCCTAAACCCTAAACCCCCAAAACCCTAAACCCTAAACCCTAGGGTTTAGCGTGGGAGCAGGCGGGCTGTGACTGTGACTTGCTTGCTTTGCATCTGCAGCACATACAAGCTTACAAGATCATCTTTTTCACTGCCACACGTAGATTACACATGCCACGCCTTTTACTCTGTTTGTACTGCAGGGTTTAGGGTTTAGGGTTTGTACTGCATTATGCCATTCATCGGCTGCTAGATTTATTTCCCTCCATTCTTGTAGCCGGCGCCATGCGTTCTGCGAGTGTCGCAGCCTTGTTCACATCCGTTTGTGGGCACGTGACGCCCATTCCTTCGGCTTTTCCAAACTCTCAGCACCTGCTGTTCGAAAGTGTGAAGGAGGATGTGGAGGGTGTAGAGATGCAGGTCACATCAGGTGCTTTTCCCGACTGGCTGCAGGGAACCAAGTACAACAATGGCTTTGGCTTGTTCGAAACCTGTCCCGCTGACAAGGACTGCTTCTCCATTAACCACCTTGCTGATGTCATGTCCTACTACTCGAAAATGGAAATCAACAACGGCACGGTGCGCCTGTGGAGCAAGATTCAAAAGACAAAGTACTGGCAAGATGCCCAGAGGTCGAAGCCAACTTACCGTACATTCAACGGCACTGAGCCTCCTTTTACAGCAGCAGAGACACTCGACACACTGACTCACCCGTTCAAGACCAACGACAACCTGAATGTTGCGATTCTGCAGCTGACCACATCAGGTCGCATGTTTGGGGTCAGTGACATGAAGGGCTTTAACGAGGCGCACGAGAATCTGGATTATGTCACCGGGCTCTTGTTAAGGAGCTTAGTCCAAGTTACCATGATATGGCATCCATAGTAAATACTCTGGTCTCCTTATTGTGGTAATGTAAGTTAAGTCCCTTGGCAAGAACCCAGGTCAGTGGCCTGAAGCTCACAGAGAAGAACAAGCCGGCGATCTCCAAGCTACCCATCCTTGGTATAGACGTCGTGACCTGTGCTCACATAGGCAACACTCTCGGCGACAAGTACGTCTACGGCTACAACTACCTGCTCATCGACGGACCTGAGAACGACTTGGCAGTATGGCGGGTGGACATGACGCAGCCTGATGCTGGGGTCGGTACCAGCTTAGAGCGCGAGTGGATGGGCACTGTGAAGGTTCCAGGAGCCACGCACATCAGCTACATGCACACTTTCGCGAACACGAAGAACTACTTGGTGTTTGTTGGCTCCGCGTTTCAGTACAACATCGAGGGAATCCTCCGATACACCAACATCATGAAGGCCATGGAATGGCACCCTGAAAAGAAAAACATGCTGCTAGGTCCCCCAAGTAGTGCCCTTGTGGCATTTTCATTTTAGCTTTAAACCTTATTGCCTCAGAACAACAGGAGAAAGGGCGCCGTTACTGCAGGGGGTTTCTGGGAAACCTAGGTTATGGGTGTACGAGAAAGCTTCCGGCAAGTTCATCAAGACTTTCACGTCCGATGCGTTCTGGTTCTACCACCTGGTGAACTGCTACGAGGATGGCAGCAAGGTGGTCTTGGATATCAACACCGTCGACTACCGGCACATTGAAACGGCCTTCGCCAACGAGAAGCTGCGCTATGACTACCCATGGGAGTTCGAGGAGAAGCCCACCATCCGCCTTGTGGTGGACACTGCGGCGGAGGAAGCCACGCACTTCCCTTATGAGATCCTAGGACCGAGCATGGATCTCAGCACCATCCATCCCTACCTCCATGGCCAAGACTACCAGTACACCTGGGGTCTCAGCTGGAGTGGGAAGCACTTGTGGTGGGACAACATCGTCAAGTTCCTCTTTGGGCGTGCTTGGAAAGTTTGTTTAATGGGCTGGTACAATCCTTAAGAAGCAGCGACGATTCTAGTTTTCCAAGGGCCCCAAGTTCAGTATAGGTTCGATGTGAAGTCCAAGCAGATTGTGGCCACATGGCACCTCGAGGATCACTACCCCGGGGAGCTCATGGCCGTGCCAAGGCCAGGCGCTGTCTATGAAGACGACGTCGACATCCTGGTCACCATGCTCGGAGGAGACAGATATAGGGTTTAGGGTTTAGGCTTTTTAGGGTTTGGGGTTCAGGGTTTAGGCTTTTGAGGGTTTAGGGTTTAGGCCTTTTTAGGGTTTTCAGGGTTTAGGGTTTAGAGTTCAAGTGTCTTGTCGTCCTTGATCCTAAACCCTAAACCCTAAACCCCTAAGCCCTAAATCCTAAACCACTAAACCCCTAAACCCTAAACCCTAAACCCCAATGAAGGAGATTACGGCACTTCTTACCTGATGGCCATGGACGGTCGAGATCTCACCCCTTTGGCGGAGGCGCGGTCGCCGTTCCCGCTCCCTTTCGGCTCGCACGGATGCTGGCAAGGAGCTGACAAGAGCCGAGGCTGGCGGGTTTAGGGTTTAGGGTTTAGGGTTTGGGGTTTGGGGTTTGGGGTTTCGGATTTAGGATTTAGGGTTTAGGGTTTAGGGTTTAGGGTTAGGATTTAGGGTTTAGGGTTTAGGGTTGAGGGTTGAGGGTATAGGGTTTAGGGTTTAGGGCTTAGGGTTCAGGGTTTAGGGTCTACGGTTTAGGGTTTAGGGTATAGGGTTTAGGGTTTAGGGTTTAAGGTTTAGGGAGGGAGCTGACAAGAGCCGAGGCTGCGTTGGTGAGACCACCGCAGACCCCTTTGGGAAGCCGGCGCAGTTCAAGAAGCGAGCCGTTCAAGTGCAGGTGTGATCACGGATGAGAATGAAAGTGTTTGTTAGTTTTGTTCGCCTCCAGGGGCAATTTGCTTGATCATGAACTTTCACATGAGTCCGTGATTTTACATGCCTCAAAATCTCCCCATTCAGCATGTTATCCCTAGATAATCCTTGCAATGGAAGTCTAGTCACGGGCTCATCTGCTGGCGCGCTTGGTGCCTTCTGCTGTCCAGGGCTGCTTCACCTGAAGGTAGCCTCAGACTGTGAAGAGAGTTTGAAGTATCTGAGCTATATCTGGTCCCGTCGCAGCTTGCGCGCATGAGACAGGCATTTTGAAGAAAGCATCGGAATGCATCAAACTTGAAATAATATAGGGGCCTTAACAATTACCTATATTATTTGGGGTGTTCCTTATTTTAATCATAGTATAATATCCCGGTAATATCCCCCCAAACCTCTAAACCTAGTGGTGATGGCCAGAAGATACGTTGCCACCTCCCTCGAATGCGCATCACATGGCAAGATGTACAGGGCCATCGCAGCTGATCGTTCAGATTTGTTGATGGAGGCCCTAAACCCTAAACCCTAAACCCTAAACCCTAAACCCTAAACCCTAAACCCTAATTTGATTGAAAAACCTGACTTAGAAACCTTGGGTCTTTATTAGGGTTGGTTTAGGGTTTAGGGTTTAGGGTTCAGGGTGTAGGGTTTAGGCTTTAGGGTTTAGGGTTTAGAGTTTAGGGTTATTAGGGGCCTTCACATAACTTCTGGTATTTTGGAGGGAGGGTGCCTAGATTAGGAGTTTCATGATAGAGAGTTTCAGAGAAGAGGGTCCCTGACTCAAAACTTGCAGTTTGACTGTTTAGGGCTTGGGGGAAGCAGGTTTAGGGTGCGCAGGCTGAAAGGTCCACTGCCCACAAGTTCTACGGCGCGACGCCGTAACTCTTGATGGTGCCTACATCCTACACCCAAACTCCCAAACCTTGAGCCCTAAACCCCTACACCCCAAACCTTGAGCCCTAAACCCCTACACCCCAAACTCCCAAACCCTAAACCCCTAAACCCTAAAACTCCCTAAACCCCTAAACCCCAATCTCCCAAACCCTAAACCCCTAAACCCCAAACTCCCAAACCCCTAAACCCAAGATCTCACACTGAAGAGCGTGCACGAGGCTCGGCTTCTGAGGCTCTGGGATTAGCTCTGCCTGCCTTTCTATTCTCTTCTGGGTACTTAGAAATAATTTTTAATCTTTGGCTACTATAAACCCTAAGGAGCAGCTAAAATTATAGTTTTTGCTAGGGGTCTAAGTTCAGTATAGTTCTATCTAAACCACCAAGATATGGGGGGTACCCAAAAGAATAGCCTTTTGGGGTGCATTGCTGTAAGTCTATAAGCATATTTAGGAAGCCCCTAACCGCAACCCCAAACGCTAAATCCTAAACCCCTAAACCCCAAAACCGTAAACCCCTAAACCCTAAACCCTAAATCCTAACCGAAACCCCTATTCAAATCCTTGCTTCCCTATACAGTGAGTGTTGCAGCACCGCCTGTCCCAGGAGACGGAGGAGGCGCCAAAGGCAGCCTCTGGGGGTTTCTTTGAGGGTTTAGGGTTTAAGGTTTAGGGCTTCGGGTCTTGCGGTTTAGGGTTTAGGGTTTTAGGGTTTAGGGTTTAGGGTTTAGGGTGGGTTCCTTTTCGGGGGGAGGGGGTGATGAGGGCCTTGGCTGCTGTGAGGGCCGTGTTGGGTATGTTTGTTCCTGCCAGAGGGCCGTCATCCAACCTTTTGCTACCAGTTTCAAGCTCTAGACAAGACCCTGTACCTTATGAATCCTACGGTGGTTTTTATGTGTCGGTCGAGCTTGAGGCTTGAGGGTGATGCTGGGAGTTTTAATTGGCGGCTGATTGGAGTGTATAAGAAGATGTTGTTTCAAAAGCCGGGGGTAGGGTGCTGCCGAAAGGTTCTACGGTATAGTGGAATCCCGGCGGGGAGTTTCAGATCTCTTTGTTTCTTCGGAGATCCCTGTTGCTCTTGAAGGTTTAAGTTACACTATCTGAAACACTACACTGGTCACTACAGCCCCTTCCATTGTCACCATTCCGAAACCCCATGCCCACAGGTACAGTCAACAAAAACGCTTCAGCATTTTTCCCTGAACCCATAAAGCCCTCAACCCTAAACCCCAAAACCCTGAACCCTAAACCCAAAGCCCTAAACCCTGAACCCAAAAAACCTGAACCCTAAACCCAAAAACCCTGAACCCTAACCCCAAAAACCCTGAACCCTAAACCCAAAAACCCTGAACCCTAAACCCAAAAACCCTGAACCCTAACCCCCAAAACCCTGAACACTAAACCCAAAAACCCTGAACCCTAACCCCCAAAACCCTGAAC